CGCGCCGCCCCGCCCCGCCCCGTCCGCGAGGGCCATGATTTACGGCAGCTGGGATAAACTTCACGGCCTCCGAGGAGGCCTTCTCCCCCGCACCGGCTCCAGCCGCATCGACGCCGTCCTTCCTTTGCCATCAGCCGTCGTCGTCCTCGAGTCAGCCAGAGCGTCAGACCCTAACTCAGCCCTTTTAAACAGCAGGTCCCGCCTGCGACGACGGCCTCCTAGCCCTAGCGGGCCCCGCCTCAGCCTAGCACCTCTCCGTCAACGACGTGACCTTGCCACAATTTTCTTACGTAATTACATCTCTATACAGTTCTAGTTCTAAACGCCGTCTCGTCCGCCCGTTTCAATAAATTTGTACACCACGCGCATTAACAAAGTGCAGTCTTTGCATAATGTGCAATATCCTAGCAATATCCTAGCTAGAAAAGTTCGATAAAAATAAAATAGAGTGGCAAGGATTGATGTGCGATTCGCATATCCATTTTGAGCATGTCAGGGACATCAATCCACATCAATCCACTGTTTGTCACAATCTTCACGTTTGGAAACGGGCGGCGTAAAGGTTGTATTTACGTGCGCACTTTCACTGATAAGATAAATAGTTTATTGTACAAAGTCGAATAAAAATTAACATGTAGAAGAAGTTGCAACTAATTTTCCTCGTCCTCTTTAAGGTTGTCATATGCTCTTGTACCTGACTCTTGGATGACACCCCATACCTCTTCGCGAATTTTCTTCAGTGGCATGGATTTGTCCAATTGTATTGCCTTAACAAAATTGGTGCGATGATTGGTGAGTACTGAACTTAATTAAGGATAAAGACAGCAAACCAGGTGGTGATACAAAAATTACTACTAAAGACAAGCTGAGGAACAATTAGACTTTGAGACTAAATTAGCTCTGCTTAAAAGGATACTTCCTTCGATTTCATTATCTGGCACATTAGTATTCCATCGAATGCCAGTTAAATTTTTATATTGATATAACTCAGACCTGCAACAAATTAGGACAGTAAACAACTATCTTTTTATAGAGAAAACTGAGGATAAAATCAAGTTTTTGCACTTACTCGTGCTGTTTAAATGTGGCTCGCTCTTTATCAGAAATACGTCCTACTGAATGACTTTTATTGATTTTGGATATAGTATCTTTTATTTCACATTTGAACTTGTTGACTTGTTTTGTCAGCGATGCCTACAAAAAAGAAAACAACAGGAAACGTCATTTAAGAAATACAATACGAAATAACAGAGCAATACTTTAAGTCAAATAATAACTTTTAAAAAGCACAGTACGAGAAGAAATTAATTACTTACATCATCTTCTTTTAATTTAGCTAAATCTTTTCGCAATTGAACTTTTTCCTTTTCGGACTGTGCCAGTTTATCCTTTGCAATTTTGCACTCCGAGTGTAGTTTATTGGCTAAATTTTCTAGCCCTGAAAAGAAAAGAAAGAAAATTTAGTCAAGTTTCTAGAGGATGAGAGCTAAGAAATGTGGAATGTAGCGATGTAATAGCATCTATACTTTTCGGTTCCTTAGCTTTCTCGCTCTTGAGGTCAAGAATTGCGCTGAGTCTAATATTTTGATCAGGCGGTGCATCAGGTAGATCAAATGAAAGAGAAGATACAAGTTTTTCTAGGTCTTCGAGTTCCATCGTAAAAGTTGATTTTGAGGAGAATCAAAACAAAACCCTCAACGATAACACAACACACGGTACCGGCACCAGTACTAGAAATTCAAAATACGTTTGCTTTGTTTTCCATTTACAACTTAGCCAACTGCTATCAGAAAAGACAGTCAAATGTTCCATCGAGCTCAGTCTTATTTCTCGAAAGAAGAGTGACAGGTTTATTTTCCCATCGGTAAAATTTGTTCACATTCCATAAAACTTCCATTTTTAATTTTTTTTAATCATTAAAGCGAGGATCAGGTGAAATTGTTATCAAATTATTTCCCAGTTGACACACTGAAAATGCGTAGCCTTGTCGATCGCAAGGGAAGGTAGGAACGAGATTTTAGGTTATGTTACCGGCTTGTCTGAACTCTTCGTTATAGTGAAAACAGGTGAAAACTAGAATAAGAGGTTTGTTCCTCCTGGTCTGTTTGAACGTCGGTCGAAAAATGAAGGAGAACGGCGATAATTCGGAGCCACTTCTTAAGAAAAGGCGAAAAGCACCTCTGAATACTACTCCACCAACACCGGTGAAGTTTGAAGTGGAAGATGTTTATCAGGTACTCCTATCCTTAACAAACATTTCAATTCCATTCCGACATCACTTTTTTTTTCTATATTGTGACTGCTGTTCCCGTTTCATCTTCTATATGGCTCCTAACTTTGAGTTTATGCCCCTACCTTTTGTTCTGCTTACATAGTGATAGTTTCACCTATTGTCAAGATGTTACATGATATCGTTTGTCCAAATTCCAGCGTTCATAGAAACGCGTAGCCAGACCCTGACGAACCTGCGGCCAAATCGTCGCCTTCTCAGGTGAAAAGGTAATAAAAACAGCAGTCATTCTATTTTAAATGAATGAAAACGACAACGGTATAATTTGTCATATACGAG